TGAAAAATAAATTATTGCTAATCTGATAATTTTTTTGATTGTGATTATTACAAAAATTATGAAGTTAAAAAAAATTCAAATAAACATTTTTTCACTAAAAAAATTAATTTTATACCTGCTATTTTTTACATTTTTAATAATTACCTTATAATCCAGAATATCTCTTTTCTATTTTCGTTAGACACGATAACACAAATTTTTAATATTATCCTTATCTCTTTTAAAAGTGATTGTGTAAGCCTTTATAGCTGAAATTTATATTTTATTCTGATTTTATTGATTGAATATAAAATATTAAATCACAAATTATTCGATAATTACCAAACTGTATATTTTATTATTAAAAATGAAGTGTAATTTTAAATATAATAAACTTTTTTTTTTAAATGACTAATTTCAAATAAAAATATTGTTACTTTCTTTTTTTTTTTCAGTTTTTTGATACAATAAAAGTAAATACTTTTCATCACAAGGTAAGTGCAATCACCGCGTGGATTGCATTATAGCTCCAAATTTTTATTTTTTACGTTTTTTTTTGTAATTTTTTTTTTTTTTTTCTTTTCAATTAACCATTTATCGGCATCTATAGATTTTCTTTTTAATTTTTTTAAAGTATTTTTTAAATGATTTTCATAATATTGGTTACAATTATTTTCTTTATTTTTAATATTTTGTGGTTCTGGCGCATTATGGTTTATATCAGTTTGGACTGTTACTGCTACAGATTTTATCGACTGCATTAAAGGTAATTTTAAGTCGCTAAAATCAATAGGAGTGATTTTTTTGACTTCTTTTCCATTTATAATTATTTTTTTTATATTATTTTTATATGATTCGGAAGTTATTGTTGAGGTTGGTGATGTGTTTGGATGGAGAAATATTTTAGAAGCTATTTTAGAAGACTTAGTCGCAACCGGAAATTCTTTTTTGAGGCGATTGTTTACTAAAGACATTGCAGGGGTTGTTAATGTTGATGCTAGTTTTGGAGCAACTAGCGACTTCGATGAAGATGGCTGGGAACTTGAAGATGATTCTTCATTTGTTGTAGAATTTTTCTTTGATTGTAGTCTAATATTTTCGAGTGGATTACATGATTTTTTAGGAATCATGTTTTCTACTTCACGCAGTAAATTTTTACAATTATCTTCTGTAATAATGTTTTTTTGTCTATTTAACGTTTCATGCGCTATGGAGTCAACATTCAATTCATTTGAATTGTCTCCAATTAATAATTTTAAAGAAACTTGAAGTTCTTTTAAGGACCGAGGCATCATTTTCAAAAAATTCTCAACGTTGAATCTCCCTTTTTCTTCATTAATATCTTCTTTTAAATTGTTTATATAATTGCATCGATCGATAACATGCTGAGGTGTCTGACGTTTAGGTTTCTTGGCAGTTGTCATAATTCTTTCGTAATTAATTTGCTCATCAATTAATACTTTTTGAATCCCATCTAAATACAAAAATGATTGAATTATATGAATTATATATTGAACTGTAAAATTATAAAATTTATTTAAAAAGTACCTAAAATTTTTTTTATATATACTAATTTTAAATTTTTGTAAATAATTAAGTCAACTTTTTTTTTCATAATTAATAATTTTTACCGTCCATATATTTACTGTAGGTTGCTAGTTTTGTTATTTTATAAATAAAAAAATAAATTAATTACCGACAAGATTCCAAACGCAAGGATGTTTTCCACCTAGTTTTATTTTGTTATGACGATGAAAGCTTTCAGGACCGTCAGTAGTTAAAGTCGGGCAATCATAGACTGATACGTGACTTTTTTTTATTATCCATTCACGATGTAAATAACTCATGAATGGTAATATGTTAGGATCAGATGCTGCGTAATTTTTTTTTTCAATTTCCTTGTACAGAACTGTTTCTGCTTCGTCAAAACGATCAGCTGGTAATAACGGTATGAGCAGAACGGAAGATAAAAAATTGTCCGGTGTTTTGACGCGCATTTCCACCCATTTTTTGATTACAGCCTATATATTATCCAGGTAGAGTAGCCGACATGTCTTCGGAAGGTTCTGGGTTCGAATCCCAGTCCGAGCTATCTAAT